TGGTTACCCTTGAGGTCTTTGGAGATGCTGAGGATGAACCGTTGGGAATGTTGGGGCGGAAAAAAACAACTGGGGCATCACGTGGGTGGGTTTTTTGCACCACCCCCCAAAAAAATTAACATAATGGGGGGGGAGGGGGGGGGAGGAAACAACAACAACAAAAAAAGAAACCTCAAAATGAAACCCAACCAAAGTTTGTACACTCCAGACTGAGGCTCCTCCAGAGCCGGGGTGTGGAATGTCCGTGGAGCTGCAGGCACGAGGGTTGTGGGACACACCGGAGCATCCCCGGCATCTGCTCCAGCTCCAGCAGTCCAAAGGCTCCTTATCCCCCACCCTGGAACGCCCAGGCCCGGAGTGGAGGTGACCAGGATCAGGCTGGTTGCTGTGACAGGGGAGGAAGGAGCAGCAAGGAATTCCCGGGGAATCCTGCATCCCATGGGATGGGAGCGCGAGGGCTGCAGAGCTGCTCTGATCACCACTCCTCCTCCTCCTCCTTCTCCTCCTTTTCCTCCTCCTTTCCCTTCTCCTCCTCCTTCCTCCTCTCCCTTTTCCTCCTCCTCCTCCTCAGGTGCAGGGTTGACCCTGAACCTGCTCGTGTGCCCGTGCCTCGCACGCACACGTATATACATATATACATATCTATTAATTACATACACATATATATACATACAGACCACACACTCCCTTCCCTGCTCCCAAAAGGACCCCCAGAAGCTGCCAAGGATCCCAAGGAGATATCCCAAGGAACCTTTGGGAGCTATCCCAGTCGACCTTCCAAAACTCAGGTGTCGCTTTAGAGCCTCGCAGAAAAGCTTCGAGCACCCCCCTCCCCCTCCAAAAAAAAAAAAAGGGAGGAGAAAGTGAATTTAAAAATCCAGTCTTCGTTTTTTAAGATGGTTTTGTTCTCCTTAAAGCTGGGGGGCACTCGGGGCAGGGGTTGGAGAGGAGGGGTGTGAGGAGCCAGAAGCAAGGCTTGTGTGTGGGAGCAGAGGAGCTCCCAAGCAGGGATTGTTGGCCAAAATAAGGAGAGAATGGGGTGTTTTGAGACAAACTAGCACACCAGGGCACCCACCCAGCCCAGAGCCACCATCTTCCCTGCAGCAGAATCCCCTAAGCTTGTTTTTGTCCTGCTGCCCGTTTGTGAAAGGTTCAAAATCAAAGAGATTTTGGGAGGAAGGACCCAGTTCAGTCCCAGCCCTGCAAATCCCATCCAGGGCTTGGTCCTGCTGCTCACTGGGGCCCCTCCATCCCCTGCCCTTCCCATCCTGCCCCCCCTTCCAGCCCTCCTTTGGGCTCTCACACGTGTTTTCTGGCCTTCCCTTCCCTTTGATCCGGCTCCTCCTGCCTCCTCCTTATTTATGTGGCCCGGGAGTGGCTGGATATTTATCATTCTCCTGCTGCACATCAGAGAGCGCCTGAAGGGCAGCACAGCTGGCAGGGGGAGCCCCCACCACCTCCAGTCCTCCTAAAATCATCCAGCTGGAAAGGCAAGGAGTGCCTCCTTCAGCTCCTACACATCACACACACACACACACACAGAGAAAAGAGATGGAAAAACGAGTGGAAAATCCTTACTGTGCTCCCACACACGTCCCCAGGGAGCACAGCTGGAAGGACAAGCACAGCTGGGATCACCAGGAGGGATGTGCCCAGGCTGGGGCTGTGCACAGAGGGATGATGCCAGCGGGACCTGGCAGGTTTTGGGAGGGGAGGGGGGGATGTGTGAGGTGCTCAAGCTGAGATTGGGGTTAATTTTCCATGGGGTCCCTTCCAACTCAGAAAATGAACCCCCTACACCCCCTGCCAGCACCAGGCAACCAGCTTCCACTGGGGTTTTCCCCATCCCAGGTTTTTTCTGGAAGATGGCCTTTCCCAAACACACACAAGCCTGTGCTCAGCTCTGTCCCACCATCCCCAGGCTCAGGATCAAGCACCTCCAGCAAGACAAGGCTTTTTTATTTTCCCTGCCAAGCATCGACCCCGCCAACTAATCCGGTGCCCCCGGGGAGCTGAGGCGACAGGAAGGGCTGGGACACAACTCACAACTCGTAATTTATCACCACAAAGGTGGGCTCCAAGCCCAGAAGATGCTCTCAGAGCTCACATCCCTCTCTGGGCAGACAGCAACACAGCCCAGGTGTGGAAGCAGGAGAAGAACGAGGAATTAAGACCTGGATCGCTTCTGATTATCACTTTAATTGCCTTCACCTCTTTTTTTCTTTTTTTTTTTTTTTTTTTTGCATGTGCTCATCTCCTGCTTTTAATTACCGCAAAGAAAAGGTCCTGCCCT